TTCTCAGAAACTTTGAACAATTATTTTTTTCACTATGAATAATTGCAGATTGTTTTGTAATCTTATGCTTAATTTGTATATATGTGATGGCACTTGAATGTTTCAGTTGGATTACACAACTTTTGTGTCATAGATATGATAATGATGAAGAATTATCATCTCTTAGATGTTTGCCTGATTGTCTCCTCATCGAAATCCTTAGTAGACTTCCAGCAGATTGCCTTGTTGGAGTGTCTAAGACATTGATCTCATCGCGGTAATTTTCCACCTTACATCTCAAAAGAGCTAGACCTCTACTAATCCTACAGTACCATTGTTTTGCTACTACTATTGAGTAGAACCTTTTTGTATTTGATGAAAGCCTTAATAAGGAGGAGGAGAAGATGTGCACAAAAGTACTTCTCAAACACAACATTATGATCAATGCGGATAGACAGCCCAAACTTCGTCTTAGATACTCTTGTGAAGGTGTTCTTCTGTTCACTTTTGAGTATTCTCCGCCTACCTATGTCATTTTCAATCCAATAACACAAGAGGAAGTAATTGTACAACATAAGTTCGACCCTGGCAAATTGTGTGCTTTTTATTATTGTTTATTGACAAGACAATTCAAACTGATTTATGCACGAGAAAAAAATTATCGTTTGGAGTATTCCATATACTCTGTCAGGACACAGACGTGGAGGAGGAAAATCCATTGTCCCACTCCCAATATTTTGCCATATGTCTCTCCTGCAATTGTCAATGGAGCAGTGCATTTGCTTGTCGCTAGAGATTTAGAGAAACCGGATATTCCTCCTTATGCTAAAGGAATCATGGTGCTTAAAATGGACAAAGAAGAGTTCTCCAATATGCCTCATCCCGGAAGTTGTAGATCATGGAAAATACATCAAACGATGTCTCTTTTAGTGAAGGATGAGTCTTTGTCTCTATGCCAATTGTTTATCTTTGATAATATGATGGATATATGGATCTTGGAGGACTATGAAAAATGGTTATGGACCAAAAAATGCAAGGTTAAACTTGTATTTAATAACCAAGGTGTTTATCGCAATATGCGTTTTCTTTACTATAGTTATTGGGAAGTAGTTATGCACATGTCTTGGCAAATAAAGCCTTTGCACTTCCTGGATGGTGAACTGGTATTTTATTGGGATAAAAGGGGATTACTTATGTATAATATGGATCATAATACTTTGAGGAATATCCAATGTCCACATGGCTCAGCAAGTTTTACTTGTAACACTTATAAAAAGAGCCTCTTAACCATAGCCTAGCTTTCTCTAATCTTATTATTTTACTTGTGTCATTTTGGTGCTTTGATTAGTTGAGCTGTTAGTATTTTGAAATATATATCATTAAGCTTATGAAAAATATCAAACACCAAAAGGATTTTACTTTATGCTCTAGTTATGTATCGGATACAACCTCTTTATTCTACAAAGCGTAGGGATAAGGTCTGTGTACATCCTACCCTTCCCCGGGCCTCACTTGTGGATTACATTGAGTACGTTGTTGTTGTTGCACTAATGATGTATAGTTTTTCTCACTGTCGAATTAAAGTGATATACAATAACACATAATTGTCTAAATAAATCATTTAGGCTGAGAAGAGTGTTTAATTTGTATTCTTTGAATTAGCCTTTGTGAGTCAAAAAGCACCACCCCAACATTATCGGTATCACAAATCTCTTCTTCTGCTTCTCCCCAACATAAACAGCAAAATGGCCCTTGGAAACATCCAAGACTTCTTTATTATACAAGGAACATGGAGAGCCATGATCTTTCGATTAAGATGAGCAAATGATGAAAACAAGAATTACTAAATATTTTGAAAGCTCAGGAAAATATTTGAGTAGTTCCATAGTTTTGAGAGAGTTGTAGTGGTGGTGGCTATTTCTCCAAACATGTTTATATAAGAGTGTTACAGAATCAATTTTCAGCTGCACAATATTGTATAAATGGTAGTCTAGTTCATTTGTAGGGATTTGATTATTTAGTTTCCATAATTAGTTAGTACTCTTTATGTATTTATATCACTATAATCATTGAGAAATAAACAAGTTATTCTCTCCAAACCTTATCAATAACATGGTATCAGAGCCTTGTCGGTTTAGAAAGTGTAGTATGTCGAACTTCACGGCTGGTCGTCGCCGGAATTGGTCAGACGTGGAGGCCCGTGTGTGGACCAATCTTGGTATGGATTCCTGATTTATGACGCCTTGAAATTCTCAGCTGACTTATGGTAGTCTTCTGGATATTGGACCAAGTTTTGAAGAATAATCATCAACAACCAGGTTCTGTGATTTCTTTTTGTCATATTTGAGTTCGAATTTCTTTGTTTGCCGCTTTGATCTGTTTTGAGCTGCAACGTTGTTTGAATTTTGTTGCTGTTGTTCGAATTTTATTCTCCACTGTTCAATTAGTTTCACATCTGGATCATTTGGATATTTCATATTTTATTTTCTGGACCTCTAGAACAACTGGGTGTTGCAGTCTATTTGAGTTTGAACCCTTTAGCTGAGAGTTGGTTGCTTCACTGTTAAGAACTTTATATGTGAGTGGAGCTCTTTTTTAGTTGATTCAAACAATCTGACTTGTTGGCATGGACAGAATTGTTGGGATAACATTTTGGTGCAAAGCTTTGGTAGCTTCTCTAGTATTCTGATCGGAGAGCTTTGGCAATTTCTCTATTATTCTGATTTGATATAGTGAGTTTGGGGAAATGTCTGCTTTAAGTTCATTATATGATAAAAAGGTTTTGGTTTCGGCGGAAGAATTTACTAAAATCTCTCAATATCATAATTCAGTGAAAGAACCCACTTGAGTTAATGCTTTTACGGAGTCATATCTTATCACGTCTTCAAATAAATGGGTGATTGATTCAGGTGCAACAAATCACATGACAGGTAATCCTAATGTATTTTCTAGCTTCAAATCACACAAAGCACCCTCTCCGATTACTGTAGTTGATGGATCAACTTGCAACAGTGTTGGATATGGGATTGTTAAACCAACCTCATCTATTACCCTGACATCTATATTAAGTCTACCAAAGTTGGCCTTTAATTTGATTTCTGTTAGCAAAGTTACAAGAGACCTTAATTGTTATATATCTTTCTTTCCCGATCATTGCCTATTTCGTGATCTTACAACAAATCAGATTATTGGTAAAGGGCATGTATCTGATGATCTCTATATCCTTGATGAATGGGAGCCTCAGTCTGTAGCTTGCTCAAGTGTCGTGTCTCCGTTTGAGCACATTGTCGATTGGGTCATTCCTCTCTACCTCTGTTAAAGAAGCTTTGTCCTCAATTTCAGAATATTTCTTCATTGGAATGCGAGTCATGTCAATTTGCAAAACATCATCGCAACTCAGTAGGTCCAAGGGTTAATAAGCGAGCTAAGTCGGCTTTTGAGTTAGTTCATTCTGACGTTTGGGGACCATGTCCAGTCACTTCCAAAACGGGACATAGGTATTTTGTCACTTTTGTGGATGATTTCTCTTGGATGACTTGGATTTATTTTATGAAGAGTCGCTCTAAAGTGTTTACTCACTTTTGTGCCTTCTTTGCTGAAGTTAAAACCCAATTCAATGCTTCGGTTCGCACTCTAAGAAGTGACTACGCTAAAGAATATATGTCAGATTTGTTTCAATCATATTTGAGACAACATGGTATTCTCCACCAGTCCTCGCGTGTTGATACACCCTCTCAAAATGGAGTTGCTGAGAGAAGAATAGACATCTACTTGAGACAGCTCGGGCACTTTTATTCCAGATGAAGGTTACTAAACAATTTTGGGCAGATGCAGTCTCTACAACCTGCTTTCTGATTAATTGCATGCCATCTACTGTGCTTGTTGGTAATACACCTTATAGTGTATTTTTTCCTAATAAGTCACTATTTCTGGTGGAACCGAAGGTGTTTGGAAGCACATGTTATGTTCGAGATGTTCGACCATCTATTACCAAGTTAGATCCTAAGGCATTGAAATGTGTTTTTCTAGGTTATTCTCACCTTCAGAAAAGGTATCGGTGTTAGGCTAATATCTTGTGTTAACTGATGTGGTATTTTCAGAGACCACACCATTTTTCTATGTACCTCCTAATTCTATAAGTCAGGGGGAGGAAAAAGAGTGGTTAGTCTATCAAGTCACTCATGTTTTGACAAAACAATCTGACGTTGTTCCTCCATCTCTCAGTGCTTCTGTTGATCACCACCCAACTGTTGTACCTTCAGTTCCTGATCCATCTGTGGTAGCAAGACCGCCAATTGTTCAAGTCTATTCAAGGAGGTGAGAGACTGATGATACTTGTCATGCACCTGTTCGGTCACCTGATCCTTCAGAAAATCTTGACCTTCCTATTGCTCTCCGCAAAGGTACACGCACTTGCAAATCCACATATTCTATTGCTAATTTTGTTTCCTATGACCGTTTATCCTCCACGTCTAGATCATTGATTGCATCTCTAGACTCCATCTTTGTACCCAAAACAGTGAAGTAGGCTTTGAACCATCCAGGATGGTCTAATGCAATGTTAGATGAAATACATGTCTTAGAGGAAAATCACACATGGTATTTGGTGGATTTACCAAAGAGAAAGAAACCAGTGGGATGTAAGTGGGTCTTCACAGTTAAAGTTAATCTAGATGGTTCTGTAGAAAAACTTAAGGCTAGACTTGTGGCTAAAGGGTATGCACAGATATATGGGGTAGATTATTCAGACACCTTCTCTCCAGTTGCCAAACTCACTTATGTTTGGTTGTTCATTTCTCTAGCTGCTTCTGAGAATTGGCCTTTGCATCAGTTAGATATCAAGAATGCATTCCTTCATGGTGATCTTCAGGAGGAAGTTTATATGGAGCAACCACCCGATTTTGTTGCTCAAGGGGAGTATGCGAAAGTTTGTCATTTGAAAGTCTTTGTATGGCTTGAAGCAAAGTCCACGAGCTTGGTTTGGCAAGTTTAGTGAGGTAGTTCAAGATTTTGAGTTGAAAATGAGCAAATGTGATCACTCAGTGTTCTATCGGAAATCAACATTTGGCTCTATTCTCCTTCTTATGTATGTTGATGACATTGTCATCACAGGAAGTGATTATGCGGGGATTTCTTCCCTTAAGTCTTTCTTACATACCAGATTTCAAATGAAGGATTTGGGACCGTTAAGATACTTTTTAGGAGTAGAAGTAAATAGAAACAAGAAGGGAATTTTTCTGTCTCAAAGAAAGTATATTCTTGACCTGCTTGCTGACACTGCAAAGTTGGGAGCCAAACCTTGTAGTACTCCAATGGTTCCCAATGTGTATCTTATGACAGATGATAGTGATCCTTTCGATGATCCAGAGAAATATAGAAGGTTAGTTGGAAAGTTAAACTACCTTACTGTGACTCGTCCGGATATTGCTTTTGCAGTAAGTGTTGTTAGCCAGTTTATGTCCACACTTACGATTAAACAGTGAGAAGCTTTGGAACAAATTGTGTTACTTGAAAGGAGCCCCTGGACTTGGTGTATTGTATAGCAATCAAGGTCATACTCATGTTGAGTGTTTTACTGATACTGATTATGCTGGATCCAAAAATTGATAGGAGATCGACTACAGGCTATTGTGTGTTTGTTGGAGGGAACTTAGTTTCATGGAGAAGTAAGAAGCAAAGTGTTGTATCTCGATCTAGTGCAGAATCTGAGTACAGAGCTATGTCATAGTCTACTTGTGAGATTATGTGGATACATCACCTTTTAACAGAAATTGGCATAAAGCATCATACACCAGCTAAGCTCTGGTGTGATAATCAAGCTCCTCTTCATATTGCCTCAAATCCGGTGTATCATGAAAGAACTAAACATATTGAGGTCGATTGTCATTTTATTCGTGAGAAGATTCAGAAAAAATTGATTTCCACTGGTTACGTGAAGACATGAGAGCAACTAGCTGATTTGTTCACAAAAGCTTTAAATGGAACTCGAGTTGATTACTTTTGTAACAAGCTAGGCATGATCAATATCTATGCTCCAGCTTGAGGGGGAGTGTTACAGAATCAATTTACAGCTGCACAATATTGTATATATGGTAGTCTAGCTGATTTGTAGGGATTTGATTATTTAGTTTTCATAGTTAGTTAGTACTCTTTATGTATTTATATCACTGTAATCATTGAGCAATAAACAAGTTATTCTCTCCAAACCTTATCAATAACAGAGATTAGCAAGTCAAAAATCTTCTCGATTTGTGATGAAGAGCCATTTGGGTTGGGTGTCAGTGAAAGACAATGACGTATATATCAATTACCACATGATCTTGTCTTCCAGCTTATTGACATGATTAATTGTTTAGATCATATAAGTACAAGAACAGTAGGTCCGACGTTTTTCTCATACATGGAACAAAGTATCTCTCAGAATCAAATCCATCAATATGAAACAGTGCTATATGTTGATTTCAAGGACTAAAATATATGCAAACTGTCTCCATTTATTTAAGAAGAATAAGAGAAAACATGCTTACCTTATTTAGGATTTCACTAGTGAAGAGGCATTTGTTGCACTATTAATTGACAATAGCACATGGATTTGATGTTCAACTCATTCTCAAGTTATTTTAAGAAATGTTTCCAAACGGTAGAGAATAGTACTGTTTACTGACTATCAACATGTCTGTGTCTGTCTTACAAAATCTTCACTAAATTATGAGTCAGCCAAAACCTTATTTTAGCCAGAAATTTGAGTTAATCAAGAGAAGCATAGATAGTATATCATATTAGGAGTTAATAATTTACACTCAGTACTTCCACAATGCTGCAGCTCTAGTTCATCTTGAATTATGCCTCACAGCCTCAACCAAGTGCAGCTAAATCCATTTGAAACCACTAAGTGTAATTATCATTTTACCAAGATGGCAGTGGCCATAATATCACCAATTGAATGGGTTATATATGCCACTTTAGAAGACTGGATTCTAGCTCATTCTGATTAGCAAACGATGAGAGTTGAGCAAATATTTCTATTGCAATGAATTCATTACATCAATATATGGACTAGAATGGAACCATAGAAGCAAAAAGGTTCATCCATTCATTATTGCCTACCTAATGTATATTCTAACTCTGAACTGTACATGGTGGAGATCCTGCTTTACAACTATACGAAATTGAGCAAAAATGGGGAATGGTTTCCTTCTCACTTCCTGAAGCAAGATGTGAGATCAATGAAAAAAATCCTCAGTGCAGGGAATTGTGACACTGCCCATGGGATGATCAAAGCCAAATTCTTCCTCAGAGAACCAACAAAATACTAGACAATATCACCTGAAGTAACATGATTTTGCCTTCCAACTCATTGTCAAAATATCGGTGACTTTAAGTCAAGACAACAGGCCCTACCTTTTCTTGGACTCATAATCAAATTGCTAAGGAAGAGATGTAGTCAAGTCAAGTCTATCCACCTAGACTTTCCTGATGTCAACTTGATATTCTACAGAACATTTATTCTGAAAAAAAAAGGAATATGCATCACTACATACCAATAGAACAAGGGAAGTGGGATGTTCCTAACTTGGTGCTGGACTTAGTCGAAAATAGGTAGCTAATCTTATCACTACACACTGCTAACTTGTGTGGCAGCCTGCCAGGAGCTCCTTGAGTCACTGTAAGTAGCTCTCTTGATATTAGAATGGGATCAACCAGTGGCGGATCCAGGATTTAGAGTCCGTGGGTGCCAAATAGATTTATCGATTAAATTAGTTTTATATTTGATTGAATTATTCGTCTTTTCGATATATATCATAAATCAATCAATAAAATATAAATAATAAGATATTACACTTTTATTGGGTATTTAATCAAATAAAAGAAAAGTCAAAGGAGTAATAATGTAATTAATTTAATTTAAGTCAATAACAATTTAAGTACAAATGGGATTCGAACCCGCAACATCAGCCTTCTAAAGTTGCCCTCTTGCCGTGGCACCACAAGCCAGTTTTGTTCTGTGGGTGGCACGCTTTATATATATATATATATACCTATGTATATATAGAGTTTCCGTCGAAGTTCGGGAGTGGCGTGGCACCCCCACAACCCTTCATAGATCCGCCACCGATCAACTATAAACATCAGCACATGAACCAAAGGAACCATATTTCTTGCATACTAAAATACTAATATCTCATATTCTGAGATAATTATGAAGTTTTCGCCATATAGGAGAACCACATTTGAGCTAGATGTGCGTATGTCACTAGAAAGAAAAGCCGTAAGTTAAGGAAGTTACTCTAACCTGGCAGGTAAAACATTGGCTTATTCCACATGAAGGATGGTTGACTTAAATGTAGTTTTACATTCTTAGTCAGTGGTTTCACCTTCTTTCTGAATATATTATTAGTAATCCATTGGATAAACATGTAGGTTTTATCTTGAGATACACAGACTAGAACTTCTGATAAGAACAAAAATGTCGGATGGAGTGCCACGTACTAATGTAATTTCTTGGATATTTTGAGATTTTTTATGCAGATATAAACTTTCTTTGTTGTCCAAAAAATATTTCAGTGTTCAAGATAAGGCCACATATAATATAGGTTCTTTGGAGTTAATTAGCATAGATTTTAGCACTTCAGAAGCTCCATTTGCTATGTTATGGAGAAAATGGAGTTTTGTAAGGAACTTTGTTCAACAAGATTACTATCAAAACCAATTGGATAAAGAATATATGTTGAAAGATTTCATTTGCTAAACTACTGAAAATTACAATTCGGTTGGGATCTACTGTTGCATCTGACAGTACGCCCTTCTATCTAATTTTCTAAGATGTGGTATATATATGATGTATCTTTCCTAACTCTTCTAATGTACAAAATTGTGAAAGGAAAAGCCTCGGATCCTATTCAAGCGAGAAGTAAGATCAATGAACACATCCTCACTACAGGGAATTGTGACACTGCCCATTGGATGATCAAAGCCAAATTCTTCCTCAGCTTGAATAAGCAAGTCTTGAAATAAAGGTTGGTTCAAGAATGATATGGGGTTACAAATATCTTCTTTTGCTTCTCCCCAAAATAAACAGCAAAATGGTCTTTCAAAACGTCTCCACTTGTAGTAAACTTGTTGATTATTCAAGGCAAACGGATAGCCATGGTCGTTTAGTTCAATATAGATGAGAAAATTAAGAAGAAAAGAACTTGTAAGGACTTGAAAGCAGAGGAAACCTTTGTATGATTTGAAGTTTTTATGGTAAACCCTTTGTATGTGTTTATATAGGCCAATAACAAGTTGTAGAATCCTACTGGAATGCATTGGATAGGCATTATATAGTCACTAGCTAAAAGATAGTACTTGTGTGGTTGAGTTGTGGTGTTTAGAGACAATAGCACATGATCCAACACATGGTTATGGCTTCCAACTAATTATCAGACTATTTAAACTTTGAACTATGCCTAGAAGCAGAAGGTCCCACTTATATTCATAACAAACAACACATGGAAACCTCATTTTCTTGAAAATGGTAGTGTTAGAGACCAACTGGAAACATTTCTTGATGTTCATGAATCAACAAGTTGTAGTCTGCATATCAACATTGTTGGTTCTATGAGGTTATGTGAGCATTTAATATTTTTTTAACTATGCTAAAGTGTAGTACTAATCCCTTTGTTTCACTCATGTCAGAAGTTAGAGATAATTGCTTATGGTGCATAATGCATTACTTCTTTTTGTCCGTTAGAATTTGGCTTAATTGCCATTCTTGATTAGTGATTCAATGTTGAGAACGTTGAGGTTTTTGTTGACCACTTTGTGGTTTCTAACGGAACGCGAAATGGTCATAGATGACCATTACTTATCCATATTGAAATTTCATTATTATTCCTCCATTATGCCTTGTAACATATGTAATCTCTAGGACATTTATCTTCACTTTTTAATATCTCATTATCTTCCTATTCATTGCTAGGAAGGCTTCCTCAACTATAAATAGTGGTAGTTTTCATTTGTTTTAAACACAAGAAAAATAGAGTGTATAAAAGTTTGTCAAAATGAGAGTTCTTTTTATGAAGCTTTGGACTCAACTCTTGTCCAGAGTTTGTTGAGTTATACTTTGTGATTAGGCTGTTGTATCCTGGAGGGGACAGGTCAAGAAGGACTACTGCTGAACCGGTGAAAAACATTTGCTGCAGTGGGCTTGGATCTCCTTAAAGAAAACAAGATATCCGCGTCTCAGCCTGAAGAAATTTTATTTTCTTCATTTTATTTTTAATTGTAATATTGTAATTTTCACTAACAATTTTAGGGAGATTCACAATGGCTACAATTGAAAAATCCATGGATGTCAAGATGAGAGATCTTAACAAGCCATTTCGGCACCCTTTCTCATTCATCACCGTTGTAGCCATTTCAACAATGGTTCTATTTCTTCTTTCAGATAAACCATTTTGTTGAGTAGTGTATCTTGTTGTATGTTGCTTCTGAATACCTTCATTTTTGTAATATTCTTCAAATTCTCGACTTGTTTATTCATCTCCTCTATCAAAATTGTTTTGATGCTGCAGTCTTTTTGCTTATCAACAAAGGTTTTTAAGTCTCTAGAATGTAGCAAATGCTTTTGAATTTTCTTTCAAGAAATAAACCCAAGTCATTCTTGAAAAATCATCAATAAAAATTAAAAATACCTTTGGCTATGCATAGATGGAGTCTTCATTGGTCCGCAAAAATTTGTATGAA